AAGTTCTCTATATATCAATATGAAAAAATCTCCATAGTGTCAGGTGAAAAAAACAAAGTGAGGAACCGTAGGTATAGAATACTACATTTTATAAATAAAGAAGAGAGAAGGAAATAATATTTGCAATGTGTAAAGAAACTTTGGAAGAATATACCCAAAAAACCTAAAATAATAAGTGTTTATTCATGGTGTGATTCAAAGTAAACAGATGATGAGGACAGGGTGGGAGGCGTACTTTTCATGCCCCTCCTTTTCCAAATATTTTCACATCTTTGAACCATATATTAGTTTTAAAATTCCATTTTAATTAGCTGTATGCAATCTCCAGGCCTACCGCAAAGACATACCAAGTGCTCTCTATGTGCCAGATTCCAGAAAGGACACAAAGGCACATATTTGAAAGAAAAAAAAAATCCCATTTGTATAATTTTTATATGCAAGAAAAGCCTGTACAAATTAAGTTTAATGTTAATGATGTTCGTTCTTCAATTCAAAAGGAAAACATTTGTCTAGTTAGGACCAGATGACCTAACTAGTGTCACAGTGTGAAGTATTGGGTGAAGACTGAAGGTATGACTGCAGTACAAAGAACAATTCACAGAACTATGTGAAATTCAAGCCTTGTCCGATTGCCTGGGCAGCACAGACAGCAAGCAGCTAGTGAAAGTTCAGATTAGAACAAACAAATGATTATAGCTGCCAGTGGAAATGTACACATTAACCTAGCAATGAACTTGTCAATAATTACCACCTATTTACTTTGTCCATGTTTGGTGCTTAGGCGGCAACACCTGGGGAAGAAGTCTGCCAAAACAGATCACATGTATATTAGGAAAGAATGGAGCAGTGATTATCCATGATAGCAGAAAACTAGAGGCACTGGGAGGAAGGTTTGGATGTGAACATCTAGACAACTTTGGTCACATTAAGTTCTGTGAAGTCAATAAAATATTTCTGTTCAGGCCAGGCACGGTGGCTCACGCCTGTAGTCCCAGCACTTTGGGAGGCTGAGGCAGGCGGATCATGAGGTCAAGGGATCGAGACCATCCTGGCCAACATGGTGAAACCCCATCTCTACTAAAAATACAAAAATTAGCTGTGCATGGTGGCGCGCACCTGTAGTCCCAGCTACTCGGGAGGCTGAGGTGGAAGAATTGCTTGAACCCAGGAGTCAGAGGTTGCAGTGAGCCAAGATTGCACCACTGCACTCCAGCCTGGAGACAGAGTAAGACTCCGTCTCAAAAAAAAAAAAAATCTTTCTATTCAGATTGTATTGGATCCTCAGGACACTCAAAAGAACAGAAATTGCCCTACTATTTAAAACTTGCTTCTGTAAACACAAGAAATTCCAAACTCAATCTGTCTAATTAACTTTTGGAAAGAAAAGCCTCTTTCCTCACATATTTCAGGGCACTTCATAAAAATCGATTTGTGACTACCACATGTTAGGCACTGTCCTACACTTTGAGTAGCACTTTGATATTTGTTATACACTTTGCTAACTGTTTACAATTGGAGTCTCCACCTCTGTTCTCCCCAACACACATACCTATCTAGTCAGTCATCTTAGGAGGTGATGGGAAGAAGCTCTGTGAGATTCAGTATCTAATGGGTCAGGGCAAATGTCCCCATATAATCCGTGGAATAGATTATTCTACCTTCTACCTATCTAGATTATAGTCTACGTACTAGTAGCTGCTGTCTGATTTAAATTTATAACATAGGTTGGGCTTGGTGGTTTATACCTGTAATCCCAGCACTTTGGGAGGCCAAGGTGGGAGGATCACTTGAACTCAGGAGTTCAAGACCAGCCTGGGCAACATAGCAAGACCCTGTCTCAATTTTTTAAAATAAAAAATAAAATAAATATATAATATTTGCATAATACATTAACTATATATCTTATTTAAGGATTAGACTAATATTTAGAATCATAATAAGGGATTATTCTATCCCTAAATAAGATATGTAGTATAGGCCAGGCTAGGTGGCTCACACCTATAATCCCAGCACTTTGGGAGGCCAAGTCAGGCGGATCACCTGAGGTCAGGAGTTCAAGACCAGCTGACCAACATGGAGAAACCCCATCGCTATGGAAAATACAAAATTAGTTGGGTGTAGTGGCGCATGCCTGTAATCCCAGCTACTCAGGAGGCTGAGGCAGGAGAATCACTCGAACCCAGGGGCTGGAGGTTGCAGTGAGCCAAGATCATGCCATTGCACTCCAGCCTAGGCAACAAGACTGAAACTGTCTCAAAAAAAAAAAAAAAAAAAAAGCCATAGTATAAAGCGTTTATTGTATTGATTTCATTGTTTTTATAGTGGGTGACCACACACCTAAGGGGGATCCAGAGTGATCTGAATCAAAAACAGATTTAAATCTAGTTAGTAGAAGCTGGCTTAAACATATAGGTTCACTTGTTTTTTTTAAATTGAGTTTCACTCTTTTGTCTAGACTGAAGTGCAGTGGCTGAATCATAGTTCACTGCAGCCTTGAACTCCTGGGCTCAAGCAATCCTCCCACATCAGCCTCCAGAGCCACTGGGATTACAGGCATGGGCCACTGTGCCCAGCAAAGCATATGAGTTCAAAGCCCAGCTCTGATTCTTTGAAGCCTGTGACCTTGGGTAAATTATTTACTTTTATCTGTAAAAATGGGACAACCATAATACTTAGTCATAGCATTGTTATAATGATTAAATGAAGTATTCATTCAATAAATAATTACTGAGGACCTATTACGTGCCAAGCGTTGTTAGGCACTGAGAGTACAGTGAATAAATGCATGTACCAGACATGTAATAAACTTGGACTGTTTTTGTCTAAAAGTACATACACACAAGCTTGGGGGTGTATATAGGATTTAAAGAAGTTTAAAGCTACAGAAACAGGAATGAATTATTTATTGGGCCTCCAAGATCACAAAGTTGAAATGTTGACAAACACAGACACACAGTATCTAATTACAAGAGAGTATTGTTTGATCGAAGGTCAGAAGCAAATAGACCTGTTGATTGATTTAACATGTGTGTTGAGCAATTGATGTAGCATATTAGATTAATTTTCTAAAGGCTAGAACTGGTTGTCAGGTGTTTTAACATTTCTTCCAAAACAACATCTGTGAAAATTCAGAACAGCAATGAAAGCAATAATAAAAAATGGAAGAGTGTAACTCATGTGGAATGGTTATCAATATTGGTGATAAAATATTTTTTAAGATAAGTTTATTCATTATTTTCTGAGAGGATTAAAAATTGCATCCCACCTATTGAATACTTTTGCTCCAAGTTACATTCCCTGAAATACATGTTTTAATCAGTTTAAAATTATGTAATGATGACTCAGTACTCTGCTTGTTAAACCAGGATGCTACTCCTAGGATAACTGAAGGACAGCAGTCGATAAGAGAAGTCAGAATAATAAAATGTATCTTCCTGAAGCATTAGTTTTCCCTCGGTTTTCATATTGAAACCCACAAAAATTTATCATGGAAGAGAATGCAAAACTCTACTTAATTTCATAACATAAAACAGGAAACATCAGAGAAATTGCTCCTTGCTCTGGCCTCTCGTTGGGAGCATGGAATCTCTGGGCTCTTTAAGAGAAAAGTTACTGAGCAACAGAGCGAGAGTCCATCTCAAAAATCATAATAATAATAATAATAATTTTTCCATCTTTTCACATTGTTGCCAGTGAGAAGGGGTTTGGAATCACTTTTATATTGTTTTTAATTTTTTGTTTACTTCCTGACTTGCCATTGCTTTCTGTTATCTATGGAAACTAGAACTAAATTATCATGCACCACAAAAATAACAGCAACACATATTTTTGACTAGGACACAGTGGCTGAGCTTTGAAAAGCATTCGTAATCATCTGGTGTGCTCTATCAACATCAGAGAGAAAGACATTTAGATTTCTCTTACTGCAGTAACACAGGTGCTAAGAGATCTGTAAAAAGGAATTCACTCAATCTCCGCTAAATTTCACCCTGCAGAAGACTGTAAACTAGCTTGAGGGAGTTTGCTTAACCTCCATAGTATTGTCCTAAATGTTAGCCATTCAAATCTAAGAAAAGTGAGTGTAAAACCCAGTCATTCTCTAATTCGGGTATCTGCGTTTATACTTTTCACAGTACTTATCATTGTCAGAAACAATCTTAGCCAATTGTTTCACGTGTTTCTTGTCTGTCTCCTCCACCCTCAATCTCCATAAACAGAGTCACTTGTATCTCCAGCATCTAGCCAAGCACTGAGATATTATATTGTAGATGCTCAAAACTGTTCTTGTTGAGTTTCTTCAGAAAGAGTCAGTGATGACAACTTTTGGTCACCCACATACTTCTCAATAGATACTTAAGCCAAAGATAGGGGAAAGTGTGTCTGACCTATTCAGAGTGCAGGAGCCTATTTGATGGAGTGAATGAATGCTCGTCTGGATTCTCTGCATCTTTTGCCATCTTTGATGCTGAAATGCTAATGGGAGGGTAAATGGGGGAAAGTCTTTTTTCTTGTTTTAGTTGAAAACGAGGAGTGGAAGAGCTCGCTTTGCTACCCAGGTTGGTCTCGAACTTCTTGTCTCAAGCGACTGTCCCGCCTCAACTTCCCAAAGTGCTGGGATTGCGGGCGTCAGCCACGGACCCCGGCCTGGGAGAGGGCCTTGATGGGACATTTCTCCTGTGTTTAAGGCAATGCTGAGCCTAACCACCTTAGAGCTTCAACACAAATTCCCCGCGATCCCATCAGCCGACAGGGTGAGTCCAGCGCCCAGACTCCGATCCCGCGCATCAGGCACCAAGGCCGCCGCACCCCAGGTAACAGCAGCACCGCTCAAGATTCGGGAGGAAATCGCGCTTTGTCCTGGGTTCCGCTCGCATCCCTCCGGAACGAGGCCCGGCCCCTGCCTGGTGGAGTGGGCACAGGGCACACCCTTTGGACCTCCCGGGGAGCCAGCCCACCCGAGTCCCCAGCCCGGGCGTCGGCGGCGCCGGTCCCCTGCTCACCACTGGGGAACCTGCTGCTGTCGCCGGCCTTGTTGAGGGCGCTGCTTGAGCAGCCCATCGCGGGGAGCGCGGACACCTGTCTCAGCCCCGCGCGGGTGTCGGCCCTGAGCCCGGATCCCGAGTCAACCGCGCCCGGAGCCGCGGAAGTTTCTCCAGTTCTGCAGCCCCCGCTCCCTTGGGCGTAGAGCGCAGGCGCGCGGTAGAGCGAGGAGTAGCGGGTGCGCACCTGGAGGGGGAAGGGAGCGGCCAGGAGGTGGAAGGAGCCGGGGAGGGCCGAGCGGAAGAGAGCGCGAGAACAGGGACGCAGAAGGAACAGGGACGAGTAGAACCCGGGAGACAGGAGGGGAGAAGGTGGAGGGTATGGCACAGTCAGAAAGGAAAAGCCCCTAAAGCAGGGATAGGGAGGATGTCAGGGGGTGAGGGGGAAGCGCTGAGAGGTATCATCTGTCTCATCACTAAATAGCCAGGGAGGGGAGGCGGCCTTGGGACTCGTGGCTATTGATTGGTAGACTAGATATGCGATGACAGTCTTATTTTCTTACATAACTACAATTGCCACAAGGAAGTTTAACTTTGATACTGTAAGATTTACTCCACGCTCCATGTTTGCCAGTTGTCCAGTCCAGGACTACACGTTGCATTTAGTTGTGTCTCTTTAGTTTGCTTTAATCTGAAGTAGTTCCTCCAGTCTTGCTTTGTCCTTCACAACTTTGACGTTTATTAAGAGAACAGGCCTATTTTTTTTTTCCCAAGACGGATCTCACTGTGTTGCCCAGGCTGGAGTGTAGTGGCCAGATCTCAGCTCAGGCTCACTGCAACCTCCACCTCCCTGGTTCAAGCAATTCTCCCTGCCTCAGTCTCCTGAGTAGCTGGGATTACAGGCGCCTGCCAACACACCCGGCTACTTTTTGTATTTTTTGGTAGAGATGGGGTTTTGTCATGTTGGCCAGGCTGGTGTCAAACTCCTGACCTCAGGTGATCAGCAGCGTCGGCCTCCCAAAGTGATGGGAATATAGGTGTAAGCCACCAAACCCAGCCAAGAACAGGCCTTTTTTTTAAAGAGAGAGAGAGGCCAGATGCGGTGGCTCATTCCTGTAATCCCTGCACTTTGGGAGGCTGAAGCAGACGGATCACCTGAGGTCAGGAGTTCAAGACCATCCCGGCCAACGTGGTGAAACCCCATCTCTACTAAAAATACAAAAATTAGCTGGGCGTGGTGGCACACACCGGTAATCCCAGCTGTTGGGAGGCTGAGGTAGGAGAATCTCTTGAACCCAGGAGGCAGAGTTTGCAGTTGGCCAAGCCTGCCCTCCAGCCTGGGTGACAGAGTGAGACTCTGAAATTTTTTTTTTTTAGTAGAGACAGGGTCTTGCCATGTTGCCCAGGCTGGTCTTGAACTCCTGGCCTCAGGGGATCCTCCTTTCTCTGCCTCCCAAAAGTGCTGGGATTACAGGCATGAGACACGGTGCTTGACTGTGATTTTCTAATTACATTATTTCTTCTATATTGATTAGCTGCCATTCTATTATGAGGTAAGGAAGTGCTTTTCCTTTCCCCCATTTATTCACTTCCATCAGTGAGCAATCATGAATTCTCACACCATCCAATGCAGTATGTTACCATCTGGGATAGTTTGCTAGGGCTGCTCTAACAAAGTACTACAGACTGGATGGCTTGAAGTACAGACATGTATTTCTTCACAGTTCTTGAGATTAGAAGTCAAAAATCAAGGTGTCAAAACTGGTTTCTTCTGAGGGCTTCTCTTCTTGGCCGGTAGATGGCCATCTTCGTCATGTCTTTACTCAATCTTCCCCTTGTCTGTGTCCTAATCTCCCCCTCTTATAAGAACACCAGTCACATTGCATTAGGGCCCATATAACCTCATTTTACCTTAGTTAATCATTTAAAGGCTGTATTTCCAAATACTGTACAGTCACATTCATAGGTTCTGGGGGTTAGAACTTCAGCATATAAGTGTTTGAGGAGACAATTTAGCCCATAATGGCATAATTTAAAAATATTTTAGACAGAGTCTCACTCTGTCCCCCAGGCTAGGGTGCAGCGGTGCAATCACATCTCACTGCGGCCGTGAACTCCTGAGCTTCAGCAATCCTCCAGCGTCAGGTAGGACAATAGGCATGTGTCACCATGCCTGGGTAATTACATTTTTTTTTTTTTTGAGACTGTTTCCTTCTGTCACCCAGACTGGAGTGCAGTATCTCATCTTGGCTCACTGCAACCTCTGCCTCCTGGGTTTAAGCAATTCTTCTGCCTTAGCCTCCTGAGTGGCTGGGATTGCAAGCACACACCAATACGCCCGGCTAACTTTTTGTATTTTTAGTAGAGACAAAGTTTCACTGCATTAGCCAGGATGGTCTCAATCTCCTGACCTCGTGATCTGCTTGCCTAAGCTTCCCAAAGTGCTGGGATTATAGGTGTGAGCCACTGCGCCTAGCCAATTTTTTTTTTTAGAGATGGGGTCTTGCTATGTTGCCCAGGCTGGTCTCAAATTCTTGGCACTCAAGCGATTCTCCTGCCTTGACCTCTAAAAGCTGGGATTACAACACCATCATTATTTATTTTGATGCTCAAATTGCCTAAAATTTGCCGTATTTACCTATATAGGTCATGGGATACACATCCCTGGGCTTTACTGTATGTTTAGAGGTCCCTCCCTCCCTTCCTTCTTTTTTTTCTTCCCTTCCTCCCTCTCTCCTTCTTTCTCTTCCTCCTGTTGCTCTCCTTTTTTTTTCTTTCTCTGTCTTCCTCTTCCTCTCTCTCATATAATTCAGGCCTGGAAAAAAGTCTTGGCCACCCAGCAATTGAATCACTAACCCCTTTGAATGCAGGGAGACTGGGTACCTTTGAGGAAGTGTCCTTCATAACAATATCAATATGTATAGTGATTCTACCTTCCAGCCTTCCACCAAGGGTTATTGTGCCCCAGGGAAAGAGAAATATGTTAAAAGTGGTGAATGATTTGGCTGTATGGTTAGAGACTTGGAAGGAGCAAGATTATAGGATTGGCACAAGGAGTTTAGGGGAAAGGAATTCGATGGACCTTTCAGAATGAGCCCTGATTTGGGGAGTATGTGTGTTTCATACAAATGCCTACAAAAGGCCCTGTATTAGTCAGCTTGGACTTCCATAACAAAATTCCATAGACTGTGTGGCTTAAACGATAGAATTTTATTTCTCACAGTTCTGGAGGCTGGGAAGTCCAAGATCAAGGTGGCAGTCAATTCAGTTCCTGAGGAGGCCCCTTTTCCTGGCTTTGCAGACAGCCACCTTCTGGCTGTGTTCTCTCATGGCAGATCTCTCTCTCTTTCTTATACTTATTGTCTTGTACTTACTAGGCCTAGTAAGTACAAGATAGGCCTAGTCCTATCGATTTAGGGTCATACTCTTATGACCTCATTTAACCTTAGTTATCTCCTAAAACCCAGTCACACTGGGGTTACGACTTCAATAATATGAACTTGGGTTGGCAGGGGACACAATTCAGCTCATAGCAGGCTCCCACTTTTGAGGGCGCTTTTTAAAATTAAAATTTTGTTAGTGAAATTTTTTTAAACTCCATTCTTCCCCCCCAAAAAAGAACGCAATAACCTCACAGGTTAAATGTCAATATGTAATTTAAAATTCTCTGAATCTTACTAATTTCATGTTAAACCACGGCTTATTGAGCCCAGTTAAGTTCCCCCCATTTTCCCATCAATTATCTTTTAGGAGTTCCCTGGGATCTCTCACTTTTCCTCAGGGATAATTTGTCAGCCAAGCCATGGTATCTTCTATTTTCTTCAGAGGAAGCATTTTATAATTAGATGAACAACCATAATTATGGGCTCAAAACCATGCTCTTTGCCATATTTGCCAAGATTTACCTGGCTGAGAGCCTAATTTGCCAGCAGCAAGAGGTGAAATGGTACCATACTTTAAGGGCACAGCAGATGATCTTTACTGTAATGGACACTGTTCTAGATTTACTTTTCTTGCCAATTGCGCCTCTGCCAGCATCACCCAATAGTGTACATACTACCAAGATGTTACATTTGATACAGTGGGCCCTTCATATTTGCAGGTTCCACATCCACCGATTCAACCAACTGTGGTTTAAAATAATTGGGAAAAAACAATAAAAATAACAATATAACATTAAAAAATACAAATAAAAAGAATACAGTATAATAACCATTTGGATAACATTTACATTATATTAGGTATTATAAGTAATCTAGAGGTGATTTAAAGTACACAGGAGGGGGCCAGGTGCAGTGGCTCACACCTACAATTCCAGCACTTTGGGAGACCGAGGTGGGTGGATCAACTGAGGTCTGGAGTTCGAGACCAGCCTGACCAACATGGAGAAACTCCTTCTCTACTAAAAATACAAAAAAGTAGCCAGGTGTGGTGGCGCATGCTTGTAATCCCAGGTACCTGAAAGGCTGAGGCAGTAGAATCACTTGAACCCAGGAGGCGGAGCTTTTGGTGAGCAGAGTACATGCCATTGTACTCCATCCTGGGCAACAAGAGCAAAACTCCATCTCAAAAATAAATAATAAATAAATAAAATAAATTACCCAGGAGGGTGCGCATAAAATATATACAAATACTACACCATTTTACGTAAGGGACTTTTGTATTCATGGATTTTGATATCCTGGGGGAGGGGTCCTGGAACCAATTCCCCACAGATACTGATGGACAACTGTACTGTATCTTATCAAGGAATTTATTTTATCATGAGTAAGGTATTGTGAGACAAGGAAGGTAATAGGTTAGTTTCTGTGTAATTTACTGGTCTTTCCACTTATCTCATCATCCAGAAGCAGTCAAACATATACAGTAGTGGAATGGCACATTAAACACTTGGCTGGGGCCGGGCACAGTGGTCACACCTGCAATCCCAGTACTTTTGGAGGCTGAGGCGGGTGGATCACCTGAGGTCAGGAGTTCGAGATTAGCCTGGCCAACATGGTGAAGTCCCATCTCTACTAAAAATACAAAAAAATTAGCCAGGCGTGGTGGCACACACCTATAATCTCAGCTACTCAGAGGCTGAGGCCGGAGAATCACTTGAACTCAGGAGGCAAAGGTTGCAGTGAGCCAAGATCAGCCATCCAGCCTGGGCAACAAGAGTGAAACTCTGTCTCAAAAAAAACCAAAAAAACAAAAAACAGGCTGGGCGAGGTGGCTCATGCCTCTGGAATTCTTCCAGCAGTGTGTGTGGTGGGGTGTGGTGGAAGGGAGCTCAGGACCTACTATCCCCTCACCAGACTGCAGGGCTAACTTCCTTTTAAATCTTTGCCTTCCACTTCTAGAATTTATGCCACATTGCCACAAAATGCTCTCTTAAAACACAAACATAACTTGCGAGTGGCTAGTATTGAACCAAAGGGGAATCTATAATAGGGAAAGAAAAAGATTTCGAGGTTAGTTAGCAGA